ATTCGCGACAATTCGTTCCCGTCATCGCCGAAGAATTATCGCTTTGTTTCGCAACGGATGACTCTCATCATCGCTAGAGCTCCTTCGGCTTCGGCGAATGGCCCCACTCAGAGGATCGCTGCTTAACGATTTTAATTTCGATGTTCGTAGACGCGTACGCATAGGTGCACATCGGGCGAGGCTGGCGCACGTAGTTTCCATGACTCGAAATTGAATTCACCGCTGACGCGCGCGCGCGCGCGCGTTTTCACGTGCTAGAGCCGGACCCGACAGTGTCAATTTTGTTTGTTACAGCTCGGTTTTATCGGCGGCTGCGATACTTTGCTCACACAGGGCAGCCGGCGCAAAGTCTCGCTGTGTGGAAGGTCCAAGTCGAAAAAAGAGACGGAGCTTTATATCGAGGAAAAGGGGATTTCGGATTTGCTGGACCGTGTCCACCCCCATTGCATCGTTTACGTCTAACACGGACAAACGAACGAACGCGAACGCGCGTTCGCCCGCTCGCGCGACTGTACACGCGAAGGAAAGGCGGATAGTTGGCGGAATGAGAGAGAAAGAGAGAGAGAGAGAGAGAGAAGCCAAGAGAGAGAGAGAGAGAGAGAGAGAGAGAGAGAGAGAGAGAGAGAGAGAGAGAGAGAGAGAGTGATGACGGTGAGCGAGAGGGGAGGCTTAGAAACGAGAGCAGCGACCGGGATTTTAACGTCGAGCACACTCGTTTCGAGTCGATAGGTCCACTTCGGCTGGCTTGGGAAGCAGTCGACATGGTCCAACAACTTCCTCCCCGGCTGCCGCCTCGTCCCGCGCTCACCATCGCGCGCCCTTTCGTCCATCTAGCCATCATCTTTGTAGTAGGAAACAGGGCGTGAGCGCTGCAAGTTTTCATACGTGGCGCCCACGCAACTGATAAAAACCGACTTTTGACCCGACTTTCTCTCTCTCTCTCTCTCTTTCTCTCTCTCTCCCTCTCTCTCTCTCTCTTTCTCTTCCGTTGAAAAGACGGAGTTTTCTTGGACCACTTGTTAAGAAGCGCTCGATGCTCGGGGCTAACGTTAACGATATCTGTGCGACGGTCCGAAAGTAAGTATATATATATATTACATGTATAACGCGCACATGGCCGCGTTAGCGGAGCCGTCGCATTTTGCGCGGCGAAATTGAAAAATTACAGCGCGACGTTCAGTCGAGCGAGAAACGCGACAAACGCGGCGTTGGCGAATAAGAGTCGGGTGACGTAAGAGACTCGCTCGTGAGAGCCGCAGCACGTGTCTCGTCAGAGAGAGAGGGCGCAACGAGAGAGGGATACGCAAGGTTTATTCAACTACAAAAATATCCGCTGCCTGACGGAGTGAATCTCCGCGGCGGCGGCGGCGGCGATGGCAAAATATGATGATTACCTTCGGGTATTTAAGCAAAGACCGCGGGGGAATCCTTGTTCGTCGCAATATAAAGGAGTTAAATATTGTCGCAACGTGCCTCAGCATAATCCGAGTGACAACGATCTTTCTCTCTCACTCCTCCCTCCCCCTCTCCTCCTGTCGGCCGAAATAAAATTATATTCATTGCCGATGAGGGAGAAACGAAAGAGCGATCATCGCGCCAGACGCAGCTGTGTTCGATGTAACGTTACAGCCGGAGCTTTCGGCACAGCTTAAAACAGCTTTCTTTCGGCGAGTTCGATGTACAATCGAGGAGAATTCTCTTCGCTACGGCACGTACTCGGTATTATTAAAATCATTGTTTCCGTCCGCCTCCCGGAATTCCTGCGAAAATAAATAGAGCGCCTGCTGGAGCAGAGGGTTGTATTATTTTCGAGGGACCGGAAAAATGAGTTCGCTCACATATATACACGCACGCACGCACGCACGCACGCACACGCACACACACACACACACACACACACACACACACACACACACACACACACACACACAACGAAGCGAACGTACGGCTACGAATAAGCGAAAATATCGCGCGGCATGGGAGGTGAAATTCGAAAGAGAGACGTCAAGAGAAAAGGGGTTACAGTGAGTGAAGGACAACGTTAGCGAGTTTACTTTGCGCGCCACGCAGTGGGAAACTTTCATCCAGCTGTTAGCGTCTTCCTCGGGCTCTCCCTCACGATGAAAACCCACTCTCGCGCGCGGGAACGGTTTCAACTCCCGCCTTCCGTGCACGCGAGCGATTGAACGGCAAATCACCGAGTGTAATTTAGCCCCGTAATGCAAAATTGATGATCACGGCGGGTAATTGTAAAAGGAGAGAAAAAGAAGATGGCAAACGCGAGTGAAATTGCACGAGGGGAGAGGAGGCCAGATGGACGGACGTATAGCACGCGCGGAATACACGAGCGACACTTCCACTTTAAGCGGCAAGGACGCTGTCAGTCGGCGGAACGAAAAACAGAAAAAAAAAAAAAAAAAAAAAAAAAAAAAAGACCACCACATGCACGTTGACGCGGAGGACGCGGAGGAGGAGCGAAAGCGCGGGAGCGGCGGCATTCAAGGGCCGGCCGGGAACAGATTCCACTTTGTCGCCCGGCCAATCGGCCGGGATCGCTATATCGCTGGAAATAAATAACACGGAATACATCATATCCCGCCGGATTCCCGTCATACTAGCCGCTTGTTCTCGTCGCAAATAGAACCCCCGGGAATTACGCCGCGGAGATCGGCGGCGCGGGATGGGTTGACGCGGTAATACTGGTTATCATCGCGCTGATTGCACCCATACCCCACTCTCCTCCCCCTCCCGCGCTCCCGCCCTGCACTCGCTACATCCATCGACTATCTTCCAATGGTACCTGCACCTGACCCGGTATATTTCCACCCGACCTATTCATTACGACTGCCCTACAACGATCGTGTTCTCTCTTTCACGATACATCGACGTACGAAAATTGGCGAGTGGCACGCGGCGGGGATTATGCATTCATACCTGCGAGCACGTGATGAATCCTTCCGCCATCGCGAAAAAGCGCCCTAAAACCGTGCCGCGAGATTGCCGCGGCGCTTTGGCGGTGAATGTACAAGTGATGCACGCCCTGCCCTGCCACGGCGCGCGCGGTCCGCGGCAATTTTCCAGAGAGGAAGTTTCGCTACGAAGATTCGGCGTAATTCGACCGAATGGGCGAGCGTTTTGCAGATTAACCTCCGCGAGAGCTCGCCCTCCCCCTCTTCCCCGCGACTCACCCGGCCGGTCGTTACACGCTTTCGATCGTAAGTGGCCGGCATTATTTTAATTGCTCACCGGGTCTATCCTCCCTCCCTCCCTCCCTCCCGCCCTTCCGCGGGCGAGTCAGATGAAAGTACCGGCCACGATCGCGGGGGTGTATCTTGCGCGCAAGCGTCGTGAAGCGATAATGACTAGTCGGCGGCTGCCGCCGCGTAATACTCAACGAGGTGTGATATCATTCGCGTATCGCGGTGCGTGAGTGCTGAGGGCGGGGAGGAGGGGGAGGGGGAGGGAGGACGAAGGAGGAGAAGAGGAAACGAAGTGAAACACGCGACGGCCGATGCGGTCCCGTTATTTGCACTCGTAAACGTTGCCGTACATCCACGCTGCTCAGGGTGCTCGCTCGCTCGCTCGCTCGCTCGCTTGCTCGCTCGCGCGCGCGGCTCGTGCGTTCGCGGCAAAGGTAACGAATGGTAGAAGGCAAAACAGCCACACCTTCCTGCGAAATGCACTCTCTCAAACCTCTCCACCTCGACAGCGCGCATACGTACGTGTTTACGTAGCGAACTCGCGCCACGCCAGGCGGAACTAACGGTAACGAACGGTTACGAACGTAAGAGACCGGCTCCCGGAGTAAACGACATTCCGACCGAGAGCGCGTTGCGCGCACGGTGCGTGCGGTGAGAGGAGGCCAACTGCTCGCGCGAGGTCCCGAAAGGAAGGAAAGGAAAGTCAGAGAGAGAGGGAGAGAGAGAGAGAGTGAGAGTGGAGTTGAAGGAGCGCGCGCGCGCGCGCGCGAGTCGAGCAGACAGAGAGATAAACGGACGAGTTGCTTTTCCGCAGGCTTCCGCACAGCCCGGCCAAGGCGAGGAGACAACGCGCGGACTTTGGCAGGAAGGAAACGATCAATCGGGATAAAGCCGCGATCGGCACAATCCCGCTCACGTCGGCCTCGTGTTCAGCGTGATAATCAGGCAAGAGATAGCAACGCTTCTCGACAGCCTCGTCGGGGGACGTCCGCGGCGGGGGGAAATCCCGGAAACATATCGCCGTCGTCTCGGTCGTCGTGACGCATGAGTCGCAGAAACCGCCACGGCCGTGGCGCGACCGAGCGTGTCGGCGAGAATGCGAAGAATCGCGTGCGCGGAATACGAATGAAAGAGAGGAGGAGCGGCTCGCGCGCGGGATTAACGAGCGGGAGCGGCGGACATGTGTGAGAGAGGCAGCAGGTCGGGGAAAGTTCGGCCGATATTTCGCCGCGAGAAATGCGTACGCCTGGTACGAGCGCGGTAGATAATCTCGATGATCATCGGCGAGCGACAGCTCGAAAGTTCCGGCCGTTTCGGGAGACGTAGTGCGCGCGTTCCGTTGGTTTATAGCGGGTCTGCGGTCGTCGGCTTCCGAGCGGTCAGCGGTAGCCGCCGCCGCCGCCGCTCTGCGGAGCGGCGGCGGGCGGCGGCGTTATCCACTTGCATCGCAACCAGTCGCAGCGCCGGCGACGGTAACGACGTCGCCGTGGCCTGCGTGTTGTTGTTGCGTCGTTGTTATCGCTGCCGTGCCGCTGGCTGCTGCCGCTGTTGTCGCTGCGACTGCCCAGACGCCGTCGTTGTAGCCTGAGCGACCGAGTCCAACCGGCGACTGCATCTGCATCGAGCCAAAGGGGCGAAGGGCTCGGCGGTTGGCGGCCGCTGAGGGTGAGGGGGCGGCGGAGGGCGAGCGAGCTAGTAAATTACACGTTGACTAGGGCTGACAACCGCAATGCGTGGCACACACGAGCGTGTGCGCACGAACCTCCTCCTCCTCCTCCTCCTCCTCCTCCTCCTCCTCCTCCTGCTCTGCACGGGACGCCGGTGTGTTTATGCGCCCTGTGAGTCCGGCAGTGTCAGCCGACCTGGGCCGCTCCCGGTGAGTTATAGACGAGCCGGCCTTAATAAAGACGCGGCGGATGGCCGAAATTCTCGCCCGGCGTTCCATCGGACCGGCGGAACATCGCGGTTCCGTTCGCGAATTGCGCGAGAGCCGACCGAGACCGGTCGCCTACACTGCGCCGCGTACTTGTTACGCGCAGCGACGTTACGTTCAGCACGTAGCTCGTTCCCGCGGGTCTACCGAGCATCCCATGGCGAAAGTCCGACCGTGTCGCGCAGGGCTCTCGCGGAAGGTACGTTGAGTAGTCATCGATGATTTGATTGGCTCGGGAGATGAATTACACCTCGCACCTCGCAGACGCGGCAGCTCGTGGGAGCACACGCGTCGTGTCTCAGCTTCGCTATTACTTCGTCGGGAGAGAACGCGAGTGACGGGAGAATTCGGCTCTCTCGCAGGCTCTCCTGGTCCGCGTCACATCGCGTGCGGCACTATTCGTGGCCAAGTTGCACAAGCCTGCGCGCTATCGGTTCCCTCGAGCGAGCGAGAAACGAGCGTGCGAAGCGAGCGTTTCGCGCCGAACGGCCGATGTGTCCAATAACGCAATAACGCCCGATCGCTTAGCGCGATTGAGGCAACAAAACACACCGTCGGTCTCAGCCGTCGGCTTCATTTACGTTTCTCCTTGGCGCGGGGCGTTGCGCGTCAGTGCGTGGCGGCTACAGCGAGTTCCATTCCGCGAGCCTACGAAACGGACACCGCGGACACGCCGAGAGAGACACGCGCGTCTCTTTTCCTTCAGAAGGACGGCGCGAACGCGAAAGTATATAACGTCGGTGAGAGCGGTGAGCGCGTCCGCACTCAGCCTAGGCCACTCGGGTCGTGTACGCGCCAGAGTATCAGCGCCAAACACCGGTAGTTATGTATATTAGGGGCAGTAAAACTGATGCAAATTTATTTCGAAATTCCGAGCCGTTCTCGTAAAGTCGTTTTAAAACTACCGTCGTAAAACGATTTGAGACATTCTCCCTCTCTCTCTCTCTCTCTCTCTCTCTCTCTCTCTCCTTCTCGCTCGCTCGCTCGCTCTCTTTTCTTTCCTCTCCCCGCTCCCCCGTGCGGCGGCGAACACGCCCGCGGTGAGACTTTACCGCGCTGTACTACCGTTCTTTAAGTAATTCCACATCCTGCCCTTAAGGTAACGACTTTGATCGCGAGAGCGTGCTTTCGCGCGTCTCGACCGCGCGCCGGAAAATGTGCTTTATCGCGCGCTTCGTCCCGCGGTCTCTCTCTCTCTCTCTCTCTCTCTCTCTCTCTCCAGCGTTCGTACGTGCGCGATGTTATTTCGGCTTAACCGTGAGCGCTCTCGCTGCTGCTATCGTACGTAGCACGAAGGCAAACACAGCTGGATACATTTGGAACGAGCACGCGTGTTTGGCCACTCTCCGACCTTCGTCTTCGCGTTGCCGCGTATTTTTTCCTCGATTGACGACGATCAACGATTTTTTCAGCACGCTCGCTCGCACGAGAGAGCGGCGCGCGACCTACGGTCGGGCTCGCTCCAGCGAAAACCGCGCGAGCCGAGGTAAACGAGTGATTCTGACGGAAGCAACCGCGAGACAGCTGATTTCTAGCTGTCTAAAAAGCACAGACTTCTACACGTAGACGGGAGCGCTCCGCGATGAGGCCGCGAAGACGACCACGTCTGAAAGGGACGACCCGCGCCACAGGCACGTTCGATCTTTGTCCAGCTTCATTCTTATCGGAGAGAGAGAGAGAGAGAGAGAGAGAGAGAGAGAGAGAGAGAGAGAGAGAGAGAGAGAGAGAGAGAGCCGGGCGAAGATAACACGCTCGTCTCGACAATGCAAAGGAAATACAACTGTCCTTTATGTCGTGAAATCTCTTTCGTAAGAAGGCGAGGAGCGTTACAACGTGTATACGTGTGTGGCAGATAAAAAATTCCTACGAAAAAAGCAAACAGAAATGAAACGATTAAACGAAGCGACTTCGGAGATCGACCTCGGAATCGGCCGCTGAATCTGTCCTGATGACGAGTGCGCGCCGAGTCGAAACTGACACAATCTCGCAATAATCACCCGCACTGTTACCCGAGGCGTTCCGGAAAGAAGAACGCGCTCCCCCGCGCCGAGAGAAGTGAGAGAGATAGGCCGTGCGAGCGAGCAGGCCGGAGGGGAGCGAAAATTTAAGGGCAGCCGTATATTATCGCGACGAAGGGGTTGTCTGAGGTTAACTGCCAGAGCTTCGTAAGAGGGTGGATCGGGTGGTGTCGCAGGAGCCGGGAGGGGTGAGGCTGCGCCATGAATATGCCGCCATTAGTCACACGCCGAACCGCGCCGTGGAAAGAGAAGTAGGTGACACGAATTTCCCAGAATTGCGCGCGCCCTATTGGTATCCCAAGGGGTAGTAACGCGAACAATTCCCCGTGAATGCGCATTTATTCCGGACCCACCGGCGTCTTCGCCGCCGCCGCCGCCGCCGCCGCTGGCGTCGTCGTCGTCGTCGTCGTCGTCGTCGTCGTCGTCGCGTGGAATCGGCGGTGCGCCTAAAAGCTTGGTAAAACTTCGTCGAATCGTCGGCAAGAAACTCCTCGCCTCCGTCGTCCTTAGCCCCTTTTCCACCCCTGTCTCCCCGATCTCGCCGCCGCTCTTCCTCCCTCCCGTTGCGAACTCTCGTCGTCCCTTTACTCACGGCGTGTCAAGCCACCCTGTCGAAACATTCGGGCTCGTGGCGCGGCGCTCGTGTCACCGACAGACCTCATCGTTACATCTCAAAAGGCAGCAATGAAACGGTTAACTAAATTGCTACACGCTCCGGCTGTCATTCGCAGGGAGCCGCCGCTCCGTTCCGCCCATCCAGTCGGCCGCGAGCTGATACACGCTCGCTTTTAGCCGCGAATCCGTCTCTGGACGCGATGTCTGACGCGTAAAGAGGAGAACGCTTTCTTCCGTTCGTGAGAACGTGCGCCATCGCAGGCGCGCGAGTTTATTGCATAACGGCGAGAGAGTCCTGGAAGAGAGAACACGCGAGTCGCGCTGACGTAGACGTTTCTCGGCCGCGCGCGCGCGAGGAATACTCGGACGGTCGGACTCGAATGAGGTAACGAAGGACATCGCGAGTCCCTCGGCGAGTTATATCTGATGCCAGAAGACAGAGTCGTCCGGTGTCCGTGTCCTGAAGCCGGTCGGCTCGCACCTCGTGCCGCGTATGATATCGTCGACCGCGCCTCTGATTATACGGAAGTTCGTCTCGGTCGGCTTCAGGCTCATGTTTATCGTCTTCTGCAGCCTGTTGGTGTTGAACCACAATTCTTCCTCGCCAATCCTATTTGTGATCACCTTAATGCCGCTCACGTACTGCAGAGTCTTCTCGTCTTGCGCTATTATCACGACGTTCTCCGGAGTAAATGGTTTCCCGATGTCCCAACAGGCAATGGCGGTTAATTGGACCAATTGGAAAAATATTACGCCTCTCCGCGAGGTCGCCTGCACGCCCGCTTGGCTCGCGCGCTTGTAATTTGATTGAAATATCACCGGCTCCCAGAACTCGCTTTGCGCCAGCGAGGAGGTGTCCGTGTATTTTTCATAGTAACTCGCGAGCGAGTTGAAATACAGATATCTGAAAGAGTGGTAAACATCATGCGTGTGTGCGTGCGTGTGCGTGCGTGTCGATATGTGACAGATGCGAATGACTCTCTCTTTCGGTCGCGTCCCGCGCGGATTGGATTACTCGAGATCGCTGTTCGATCGCGCGTGTCGAGTGTCGATCGCGAGAATTCTCGGGAGCCTGTCCCGTCGGGCTGTAAAAACAGCCTGATTAACGCAGACCAGCGGACTAGAAGAAAACCCGTAGGAGAGCCCGCATGCTGTTGCGCCGAACAAGAATTCCGCAAAATTCCACTCGCCGAATTATGCGCGATAATAAGCTGCCACGCGGCAGCGACGCGACGCGAATTTACATTCCCGTCTTGGGCAAAAGAAAAGAAAAAAAAAAAAAAAAAAAAAAAAAAAAAAAACAATCGGGCGTTCCTCGGCGTGGACTTTAGCCGAAATCGCGGAAAGCGGCTATATAATTAGCGTCGATACCTGTGATTAAAATAGCCCAACGGCGACAGCGACATGCCGAGCGTGCCGTCCGTCAGATCGAACCACTCGCCGGCGATCGTAATATTCATAGCATCCTCGTCCGGGCCGAAAGCGTTGCCGTGCGTGTTGTTTACTCGCCAGGAATGGTCGCGATATAAGTCATAAATCAGCAGTCCATTTTGATCCACGTCCGCCACGTAGAGATAAGTATCGAGACACGTTTTTCCGATATCGACGATTGGCGTAACTAATGACGCCTTCCCGTACAGCACTTGATCATCCGGCACTAAGTATTTATGGATCAGCCGATCCGTGCAGAGGTCGAAGATCAATATTTTCGTCGGGCAAATTGCCTTCATGGTCACCCGACCGGTGTCGACCACCCATAAACGATCGCACTCGTCGATCTAGATATTATTACACGTATACAACTGGTCAGTTCTACATATTTCAAGAATGCAATGAGAGAGAGAGAGAGAGAGAGAGAGAGAGAGAGAGAGAGAGAAGAGAGAAGCACTTATAATTACAACAACCGATCGACAGCGGAGAAATGTCGGGATGGACGACGACGTGGGGGGACCACGAGTGTCGCGCGCACCCGCGAAATTTTATCCGCCGCGACCGATTGGGGCTAGCCAGGCTATGTGACATTACCGCCACTCTGTAAACGGATATGATGCTGTCGCAACTGAACGGTGTGTGCCAGGACCAATTGGGATACGGTACGAGCAAACGGCCACCGGGACCTTGTCCTTTAGTCACCAAAGACAAACTAATCGGTACGCCCTCCAACCACTGCGGGCTCGTCACGAATACACGGCCCTGCCTGTCGATATCCACATCTTGCGTGAAGGCATTGCCCAACGTATAGTTTTTCCCCGTCAGATGTACATTCGGCCAAACCCAATCCAGATATTTCCACTGGTAAACCACTTGGAGGTGCTGCGGCTGGGACGAGCGTACAAGGCCGAAGAGCAGAACGAGCGCCCGAATCAATTCCATGATGCGTGGGCGGCCGAAGGGGCCATCGACGAGACGGAGGGAGAGAAAGAGAGAAAAGGAGAGACAGCCGCGCACCGATCGACACCGATCGACTGACCGTTAATTCGCCCCGACGCGCTTTCCGCGTCTGTGCCGAGCCTACCGGCCGTCAGGGTCTCGACCGTGTCCGCGATCGGGGAACCACTGCATTACAGAGCGGGACACGGTTATTCCCAGCAGATCGGTTCTTTCGACAGGGACTGACGCGCGGCGCGGACCCCACCCCACCCCATCCTTCTCTGCGTCATGAGCCCCCATACCCGGCGCGATTTCGCTATTTATGGTGACGAGAGGAGAGCGCGCTGCTCACCTTGAGCTGGATACACGCCAGGCGGTCCACCATGTAGCACGAGCCGTTGGATAATCAGGAAACGACAAGCGAGTTCGCTTCTTCCTTGCGGCGTGACCATGCATGTAAATGCAAGGCATCCTTCGGAATACGGAACGAGGTCTTTTCGCGCTCGCGCGCGATATGGGAAAGGAATCTCGTGGATGACAATAATAAAAACACGCGATGCGAAAAAATCTTTGGCCTCTCCGGACTCGATTGAAACTGCAGCTTTCGCGCGCGCGATCAGTCAAAACTATCAAAAGAGATACAGTCAATCAGATAGAAGACTAATGCCCGATTTAATTCGAATTAAATCGAAGAATAATTAATCAATTTTCAGGGGATTTTGCGTCACGCGCGTGTCGCGCAGACGCAATAATAACGTGAATATCGCTAAATAATACGATACGCTCCAACGAAATAAATAATATAAATATCTGACTCGTCTCCCGTCTCAGTGCAACCAGGTGAAATTTGAATAAAAGAATCAAAGCGACTCGCTATCTGGCTGACCCGGCTCTGTTTTTCCCATTTACGAGAGCGACGACTCACTTTCCGGGAAACACTCCCGATGACGTAGAGCCGGTGTTTTCGACTCGCTTATCGGAAGATATGGAAATTCACGTTGCGCCGATGGGACCGAGAAAAGTCACACGGGCACACGTCCATTAAAAGCCGGCATCTCTAATGCACGATGTTAATAGTCCGAGGTTAGGACGCGCAATATTTTATGAGCGCGTAAAATGTTCCCGCTCTGGGCCCGCGCGCATTTACGTATCCATTTAAACGGCCCGTATAGAGCGATTCTATGTGTGTGTGTGTGTGTGTGTGTGTGTGTGTGTGTGTGCGCGCGCGCGCGCGCGCGCGAGAGCCAGCGATATCAAGCCCTGTGCGCATCAATATGAAATACGGAATGCGGTTGCGCGCACACATTAGCCACGGCGTGATCGGAAACTAGAACAAGTGTTCGTAAACAGTGCACGTCTGGCTGATATAGAAGCAGGAACCTTTGTTGCATTTCCTCGAACGCGTTGCGAAAGCTATTACGAACGAAAGCACCACCCACGTAACGAAATTTTCTGCAAATTTCATAACCCAACTTTTGATACGTGCCTCGAGACAATGCACCGTGACTTTGGCGAGCGCGCGCGCGCGCGCGCGGCGTTATCTGTCCCGAAGCCGCACGGCGATTGATACCGCACGCGTCGATGGTTTCTCACGCGCGCGCGCGCGCGCGCGCGTTCGCCGAAGCGATACGTTTCTCGTTGTAAGCTAATTATCCGCTTAATTTACCGCATCCTTGCCCGCTTGAATATTTATGCACGGTACGCACGCGGTGTATTAGTCATCGCAGTTATTATCGATCGATCAATGCAGCGCTCGCTCGCTCTCCGAGCTCCAAGTTTCCTTGCATATTCATGACGGAGGCTGGAAAACCTGCTGTTAAACCGCAATTCCGCGTACGCAGGTAACTAAAAACGTGTCTACGCGCGTACGTACGTGCGTATCGAGCGGCGTTAAGCTCGCGACGGTTAATGCCAATTACGGCGTAATAAACTGTGTTTGTGAAGGCGTGAGAATACAGACGGCAGGCGGTGTCACGGCATGAGGTGATACAACGCGATGACATTATATCACAGGACGGCCGGGCGTTTAGAATGTAATGAGGAGTTGCCCGAGCCGGGCGAAACTATTTTCCAACAGCGGTTATAGCGCGATCACGCAATACGGCTATAAGCGGCTACGCTTTTCATCGCGCGCGCGCGCGCAGCGTCCAAACTTTTTTTCGTCGACTTGGGCTTTGAATTGCATTACGCGTTGCGCCGTATCCGGGGGAACGGAAACTACACTCGCCCGGTAGAAGTGAAAACCATAAATCACCTGGCTAGTCACGATTAAGCCAAACGGGAAGACAAATGGGTGGCTAATTTCAATTTTAATGCGAAGCCCAGAAGGTATCTGCTCGCCCGTGAGTTATAGCCTCACTCTTCGGGCGCGAACCGCTTTAGGGCTTATTAATAAGGAATAGTTTATCGTTTTGATTAATCACACGAGCCCGCGTGCGCTCGCGCGGCCGCCGACAATGATACCGTCGGATTTATAACGTTTCGCCGTGGTTGCGCCGCGCGTCCGCCGGATTTCCGATTCAGACGCGGCCGTCGTCGCCGAGGCGGGAAGCCCCGCGCGCGCGCGCGCGGAACCCACGGGGAAGTCGGACGAAATTGCTACGAGCGTGAAACCGTAAGAGAAACGAGAAAGCGAGCGTTGGCTGCAGTCGAGCGAATGAATCTACTACTGCTCTCTCGTGCGGCTCTTGCCAATTAGATCGCCCATGGTAACAACCCACGGTTGAGAACCCACGGGCGAGAAGCGCGAGCTCGTAAACGACGTAATGACTGTTTTTCAACGTTAGTAATCATAACATCCTACCCGACGCGTAACGCCCGCGCGAGCTCGCGCGAGGAATGGGGGCGCTATTAAGGTTGCGCATTAGACGCGGAATTTCCGGAAAAGAGTATCGCGCGTAAACGCGGGAAACTTGTTAATGAATTCCGAGCAGAATGAATATTTAGAACGAGAACATCGTCGTCGGTACACGCCGCGCCGGCGGGAGAGAAAGAGAGAAAGCCGATTTGTAAATGAAGAATAGATTAGCAAGGAGAGATCTTTCTCAAGCGCGCGGCACAAAGACACGGCACTCGTCTGTTACGTCTCGATTGCGAGGAGAGCTATGCGGCGAGTGCGGAACGGTGAGGAGGTGCAAGAACAACGTATAACGAGTTACGACTATGATACCGTTCGTTATTCTTGACGGCTCGAACTTCCGAACTGCCATTCCGCCGGAAGCTCGCGTCGCGCGATTTTATATCGACGAGGGAGGAGAGAAAGTCCCGCAAGATGCGTCCCTCCCTCCCTCCCTCTCTCTCTCTCTCTCTCTCTCTCTCCGGCTGAAACAGTTCTTCTTCTTCTTCTTCTTCTTAAACTGAGTTTGGTAAACCCTCGTACAAGTCGAAGTTCTGACCGTGCGGGTGGCGTCGAAGGGGCGTAAGGGCGGAGGCGCCGTAAAAGTTGGACGAAGTCAATTTTGCAGTTGAAGTTGGTAATGCGATTTGTGCCGGAATAAATAGTTTGAGAGGAGAGGAGAGCACACAGAGGGAGAGAGGGAGGAAGAGAGAGAGAGAGAGAGAGAGCGAGAGCGAGCTCACGGGAGGCCCTCCTCTCCATCTCTCTTTTCTCTCTCTCTCTCTCTCTCTCGCTCGCTCTCTCTCTCTCTCTCTCTCTCTCTCTCTCTCTCTCTCTCTCGCTCGCTCTCTCTCTCTCTCTCTCTCTCTCTCTCTCTCTCTCTCTCTCTCTCTCTCTCTCTCTCTCTCTCTCTCGCTCTTTCTCTCTCGCTCCCAAGCCTGTCGTCGTTGCCGTTGTCTCAGCAGCGGCTGGCCAATCCACTCGAGTTTGGTGTCACGAGCACGTCTATTGGACCTACCGGACGTGACGTCCTTACCGGAAGGAGTTCTACTTAAATCAAAACAGCGAACGACGACTTAGCGGAATGAAAGGCGCCGTGCCGAGCCAGGTCGCGGAAACTGGCCGATTGAACGGCGGCCATAAACGTTCGGCAACCGGTAAAGGCGCAACAAAGTTTGGCGGAAGGGAGTACACGTATAAACAGCCCGGCTCATTACTCCGACGTGGGAACGAGATTAACGTCAATTACAGTTTCCAGGGAGAGAAACGAGCTTACGAGTTCCGGCGCGCAAATATTTCGTCCGGGGCGAACTTTTCGCGGCTGAGATTAAATTACAACGTTTTGTTTGTTCATCCTCGGCGATTTCGCTCCGTTTCTCTCTCTCTCTCTCTCCCTCCCTCTCTCTCTCTCTCTCTCTCCCTCTCTCCCTCTCTCTCTTCTCCTTTGCCCTACGCGGCCAGAGTTTCCTTCGAAATCCTTGAACCGCGCGCGGAAATTAATGACACTCTTCTCGACTCGTTACGTTACACGCGAGCGGCAAATTGCCGCGCGAGCTCGGGACGTAATCCGCGAAAACGCAATAATAAGCCGGCTACCTCGGTGAAAAACGGCGGCGGTGGCGGCGACGGCACGCGCTCTCTCTCTCTCTCTCCCCCCCCCCCCTCTCTCTCTCACTCTCTCTCTCTCTCTCCTTCCACACACCCCCGCCGACTGACCGCCGTTGCTCTCCGTTGTAATCCTGGAGATGAAAACTTACGCTAATTAAATCGTTAATAGCGGCGAGCGCATGTACGTAACGGCCGCGGTGGTTACTTAATCCCGAGAAAATGAAACGTTCGCAGTGTCCACACACGCGTATACACACGGTTGGCGACCGGCTTGCTTTCCCCGCCGCACGCGCATACGCGCCCATGAGCGCCGAGAGAAGTAACCATCTCTCCCCCTCCGCATACGCAGCACGCATTGGCTTCGCGCAAATGGCACATTTCTCTTCTCCTCCTCCTCCTCCCCCCCCTTAACCTTTCTCCTCGGGTCTCGGGCCGTAGTACTTAATCTCTCTCGTTCCCGCATCTGCCTCAACGCGAAGTCTCATTATATTCCGCGCGCATCCGTTTTGTCGTACGATTCCCGCCGCTAATTCCTGCGACGCTCTCGAGCCTCCGCGCGTCCTTAATGCGATCGTCGATAGCGATAAAAATGCGAGAAGTCGTCGAGAGTGCTTTCCCTCTTTTTCTCTCTCTCTCTCTCTCTCTCTCTCTCTCTCTCTCTCTTCTGAAGGAGAGAAGGATTGATAGCGAGCGAGACTAGCGGTAGCAATTTAGCGGATCTCGTACGCCGATCCGCGCACCTCCTCCCTCCTGGTCGGACGCGCTGTCGCGGGGCGTGTCGGCAAAATAGCGTCGAGAGCCGCGAATTTGAATAACGCGATTCACCGGAATCGAGTTCCGAAAGGCGCATTAGAATGCCAGCTGGGCCAGCCGGCGACTCCCTTGCCCTCGTGCCCACCCCCGCCGTCGATTTCGCCGACGTTGTTGCTGCTCGTCGCGCCGAAGCGCGATCCGACGCGATCCGTTGCCTGCTGGCGCGACACGACGGCACACACACATATACCCACACCTACACGCACACACACGAAAAGCGGGCGCAGCGACGTTTCTGCCAAATAATAACGTTCGCCTAGTTTCCGCGGGAAAAGTTTTTTGCTCGCTCGCGCATCTCCCCCTCTCTCTCTCTCTCTCTCTCTCTCTCTCTCTCTCTCTCTCTCAAAGTCCGCGCTCGTGGCGGCCGATACTTTCGCCCCGTAGCCCGTTTCGTCCAAAGACCGTCGGCTCGTTCTATCTTTTGTGCGCATCGTCGCGCGAGCAACGACGCTCCGGGAAGGGGTGGTGCGCGCGCGAGAGTGGCGGCGCCAGAGGAGGGGGGGTGGTGGTGGCCAGGGGATCGAGCGTTGACAATACCGCGTTTTCTGCACATTCACCGAGTTCTGCTGTCCACAGCGCGGCACACATAAGGGTATTTGCAGTCTCTATTGAAAATCGTTACTCTCGTCCGAGAGAGCGTGGCGCTCGCAGTTTCGCGGCGCGCGCGCGCGCGCGCCCGGCGCCG